CAAAATCATAGGTTTTTTTAATGCTCACATGGTTATTTGCACGATACCTATGCCTAAAAACCAGTTTAAATTGTTTTTGTCTGTCTGTCTGTTGTTCTGTTTGTTCAAAAATTAGCCGAATTAACTCCTTATGTAGATAGCTACCTGGTAGTAAAATGTTATCGGAATCGCTCCAGCCGTTTTAAGATTATCCGGAACAAACAGACAGACAGACAAAAACAATTTGAACTGGTTTTTAGGCATAGGTATCGTGCCTAAAAACCTATAATTTTGACATTACAAACAGACACTTCAATTTTATTTATTTGTATAGACTTGTATAGATAAGAAGAAGACTGAAGACCCCACTTGTCATTTCGCCTAATTAAATAAAATATATACATAACTAGCTGACCCGCGCAACTTCGTCTGCGTCTCTCAATAGTAATAAATTTTCTCCGTTTTTGAAACATTCTTCATTGGTGCTCCGCTCCTATTGCTCTTAGCGTGATGATATATAGCCTATAGCCTTCCTCGATAAATGGGCTATCTAACACTGAAAGAACTTTTCAAATCGGACCAGTAGTTCCTGAGATTAGCGCGTTCAAACAAACAAACAAACTCTTCAGCTTTATAATATTAGTATAGATTACTACTTATAAATTGTTTTATCCAAACTTTTCTTTAAACAAGATAATAGAATTGACTCAATGGTCTCTCAAGTGCAATACATCGATACAAGAATCCTCTCAGTGGGCGGTCCTCTTCCCTCATCCCTCCGAGATATATATCTGAATTACTACAGATAAAATTACAGATAAGCACTATATTATGTCGTGCAACGAATGTATTGTACAAGATAACTGAACGAATTTTGATTTATTTGCCCTGTTTTTTTTTAAAGACGAATCCCGCTCTAGGAATATATAATAATAATAATATTCTACCACATTCACACAACGCCATCTAGTCCCAAACTAAGCAGAGCTTGTACTATGGGTACTAAATAACTGATATAAATACATATATACGTTTTTTTCTGTAAATACATACTTATTATACATAGAAACACCCAGACCAAATCAATCATTAAATATACATGCACTTGAGCGGGATAAAACCCGTGACCTTTGGAATAGCAGTCCGTTACACAAAACCACTACGCCAAATATGCTGTGTCGCTGATTCAATGATCTGGTCAGACCATGTCATACTGTAACGATAATCTCATGAAATACCGACGACAAATATACAAGATCCGTGGTTTAAGCATGTATAGTAATAAATTATTTTAATAAATAGTGTTATTCAATATTGGCAATGAAGCGAAACGCGAAGTAAATCCGGATAAGTTATTGACAAACCTCTTAACATGAGGGGGGGAGAGTCGTATAAAGTTATATCTGGAAAGGATACGATACTAGGCTTGTTTCCCCTAATAACAAATTGCTATTGAAGAGACATAGATAAGAAAAAGCCAGTGTTCTTTCTCATAAAAGTTAAAGATTATTAATTTAAAAAAAAAGAACAAAATAGGCATTAAGTCACGTGACACCAATCAGAAAGTGTTACGTCACGCCACGCAAAACATCATTGTTGTTGTTGACGTTTTCATACAACAGACCAGGTTGTTCTTTATTGTTTTTCGTTTTTAGCATATTTTCTCACCTTAATACAGTTTCAGTTGACACTGGACACAGATGTAAACAGTTTTGTTGTGTGTATCATGACACTATTCAGCGTTTTAAAAGGAAATTTAAATTGTTTTTTTTAAATACAAAATACGTAATTTATTGCCTTTCCTTTAAAATATAGGCTTTTTGGGGTGAAATGTCCGATACATTATTATTAGTATTTATTATTATTATTGTAAAATATCAGCTCAAGTTAGGACCTTTGTTACTGCACATGTTTTGAATCTTTGGAGCTTCAGAAGTTCTTTGAATTCTTTGTTATTATAACCATTTATTAAAGCGTTCAAGTTTATGAATTGATAACTTCTTGTTACGTAACGCGTTACGGCGCCAGTCTGTCTAGCTTTCCTTTCTCTCACGCATACGGCAGCGGTAGGCAGGCTCTTTCTCTCTCACTCTAACCCACAGCGCTAGCCGTATTTCGGACAGACGCTTTACGTAATAACCTAAGCTTTTCTCAAGTTAAACAATTTCAATATTAAATAGTTCAACTTAGATTAGTTTAAGTTATCACTTCTGTCGGGCGTCCCGAGACGCTCACGTTTTTTTTTAGACACTGAGTGGTTTACCATCTCTTAATTATCTTTGTTGTTCTGTGCTGATATTTTTTGCCCGTAATTTCACTTACGATTAATCTATTTTTTCGGGATAAGTTAGACCACGGCAAAAGAGTTCACCCGAGTTGTACCACTGGTAAAATTACTTCCCCATAGTACAACCATAGTTAATCCATAGTAACTTAACTTACCCGTGGTACCAGTGAACATCGCATCTGTACCACGGGTCGGGAGAGGATATGTTATAAAAAAAATCGGTTGTCTGTAAAGTTGGTTTACTGACGATAGTTGAACGTGACAACGTCATAAGAAAATACTGATGGAATGGTTGCATTTTTCAAAAATGTATTATTGTATACGAGTAGCAGCTGTCCACGCGGACGCATCGCTCACTCAAGTAGGAGAGAGACAGATGTCGAACGCTGCCGAACGCGGAGGCCGATTGTGCCTCTTTGTCACTCGTTCCGCGCTCTCGCTTGCACTTCACGCCTTAAATGGAACGCCTCAGAGCGAGGTAACGCCGCATGAGTCATGTTTTTTCGTGCGTGCAGCCGGCTCCATCGAATTATAAGACGTTGTCACGTCAAAAATCTTTGTGCTATTGCAGACTAGAATCTATTTTTCCTATCTGTCTACTTTTATCCAGATACGTTCAGCAGTTTAGGCGCAATTGAGGAACAATAATCCAACTAATAGTAGTAATATTTACAGGTTATGTTTAATAACAAAATGGCTGCCACATCCAGTGTGACCCTACACCGGTGCTGTTCAATAAGCTAATGTACCGAGTGACTTGGCGTCAATATTTGTCGCCGAGGGATTACGCTACTTGTGGGGAGGTGACCTCTACAACAAACTGTGGGAGGGCTTAAGTAAAGACACTCTACAAAACGTAGTACAGAAAGACCAAATATTACGTAAGGTCTATTATGTATTATCTAGCTGTCGAGAAATTTCGACTGCGTCTCTCAAGAGGTATAAACTTATACCGTTTTCGCAACATTTTTATTTGCTACTCGGCACATCGGCACACATTGGAGGTAGCGTGATGTCATATAGCATATAGCTCTCCTCGTTAAGTAGGCTATCCGACACTAAAAGAATTTTTAAATTCGAACCACTAGTTCCTGATATTAACGCGTTCAACCAAACAAACAATCAAACTTCAGCGTGGAATTAGAAAAGCGTTGCCTTAGTGGGTTCGATTCCCGGACCGGGCAAAATTTTAAAGGGTTTTCTGAGAGGAAAAACAGCCTGAGTTACTCCTTATATAGACAGCTACCTGGTAGTAAAATATTATCAAAATCGGTCCAGCCGTTTAGTAGATTACCCGGAATAGACAGACAGACAGACAGTAAAAAAAAACTGGTTTTAGGTATAGGTATCGTGCAAATAACCGTGTGAGCCGTAAAAAAAGCCTACTATTTTTACATTACAAACAGACACTTCAATTTTATTTATTTGTATAGATTTAACTATTTTTCCTAAATAAAGATAAGTTTGACACTCCTTAATATCTTAGTAACAATAATTACTAATACTTCGCGGGTTGCGGGTTCGTTTTCTGTTCAGTGCGAATACCACGGCCTCACAGGAATCCGGTGTTACGCAATTACTTCGTAACTTTTCACCGAGTCAGTGAAGTGACGGTTTTTCACACATCACACATTGACGTGTATGTCAGTTCTGTCAGAAATGACAGATTGACACATTGAAAAATGTTGCCGTCATCAAACCTTACTTGATTTTTAGTTTCTTTGTGTATGTTGTTTTTAACTTTTGTTTTATCTTTGTATGCTGTGCTTTATGAAATAAATAATATTCTATTCTATTTTATTCTAATTAAATACATAATATAAAAAAAAACCAGTCGAATTGATAACCTTTCTTTTGGAAGTCGGTTAAAAAAAACAAGTGATCCTTACAGTAAGCACATGTGATGTGTTATATCTGACATCCGAGGGGTGACGGATTAAGAATACAGAGTGTCACCACCATATTCATCCAAACTGAAGCAAACTGCGCAGGACAACAGCACTGCAAAGAGAAGGAAGACTTACTAAAACCTTCACCAACCCGTCCGAACCCTTTTTTTTTTAACGAGTGGAAATCCCCTCGGTTCGTCACTCCGCCGGGGTTCTCTGTTCGGCGGGGCGGTGTCGGACTCGAACCGACTTAAACCACACCGTGTACCCTCTTTGCGCTTCTATTTTAGGGGGGGGGGGGGTCCAGGTAGTTATCGCCTTCTGAACCCCTCCCAGCGCCGGCCCGCTCCTGCTGCGGGCTCCGTCTCAATTTTCCTCTCTTTAGGCGACGTCCGGCACACGCGGACGCCACCCCCTCGCGGCTGGCCAAAGTAATGCGGGTGGAGGGAAAAACCCATCCCGTCCACCCGCGGCCACACTCAGGGCGGCATGAGGCGCAGGTGAGCGCGCCTCCGCCGCCCGGTTCACCGGCGGCGGATCGGGTCCGAGTGGAGGTAACCCGTCCTAACCCTATACCAACTCGTCTGGCCCGCTTGGCGTCGTAAGCCAAAACCTCCTTTCTAAGAAGAGGGCTATGTCCAGCAGTGGACTAGTAAAGGCTATTGATGACGACATCTGACATGCACCTACCATCTCACGAACAACTCTAGGGCTGCGCGCTCTTTCGTCAAATCAAATTGCGTGTGCTTCCTCGGCTTCCTGTTACACACTTCCGTCCCGAAATCAAGTTCAAGGAAGGAATTAAGAAATATAAAATGCAATAAAACAACAATCATTATTAAACATCAACCATAATAAGTCGTGTGAGTCGATTTCAAAATCCAATTCGTGTAATACGAGATATTTGTAAATATCGCCAACTTCATGTCGCAATCCCGCGGCTTCACAGCGAGTATACCAACCACTTTATCCATAGAATATATCGGTCCAAACTCATGTACAAAACAATCGTCGTGATCAGACAAATCTACACACAACAGACTCTCGTCCAACTCAACTCCATAACCTTCGAAACATTTGTCGAAAGGAGCTAACTTCACTTCGAACTTTTCAAAGTCGTTCGTCAGGTACAATTTCTTGTTCATAGTAGACACAGTCTTCCAAACAGCCGCTTCTAGAAATTTTACTTCTTTCTCGTCAAAAATTGACGGTTTAATTGTGAAAGGGTATATGTCCACGTTCAATTTTGCCACTGCAATGTCGTACTTCGGTGTGGGGTTGCTAATGTTGAATTGTTCGTGTAGCCGCCAGAATAATACAGGGTATGTGTGGGTGTAGTTTCTGGCGAAGTCTTGGAAGAGAAGTATTCGGTGAGTTGCTCCTGGACGTCTGAAAGTAATAACTGCAGTTAGAGTTTGATGGGTTAGGGGGAGGGGGTTAGGGGGGGGGGACTAACACCGTCCATGAAAACCCTCCACTCAAGAGTGTTGTTGCCGCCCCTTAGCTCTCCCCAGAGTTGGGAAAAAGTGGAGAGGAGGGGGGAGGGAGGTAGCGCCTACGGCAACCTCAGTCACTCGGTGAAAATCAACAAAAGAATTACCCAACACCGGTATTACTCCGGTCGAGCCGGCCCGATTGTGTGTTAATCTAACAACGTAAGACTTGCCTGCAATGTGCTGAAGTCACCACCCACTTAATCAAAACCACACTAGCAAAACACGTAAACGACCAAAGCGTTGAGGAGTTTCTCGTCACGGCAGCCACATATGGAAACCTTTCAGCAATCGAAAATGACGTGTTATCATGTAGACTTATCACTCCCATTGATTTAGTAAACTGATACACAGCTCCACCTTGTAACCCATACTCTCTTTTCCTCTCTTCTACTGTGATGTCTGTGGCAAACTTCACCATGACGCAGACAGCCATAATTGCTAGGAATATGGTGGTGGATAGTACGATACATGCTGCTTTCATGGTTTTTAATTAATCACTGCAATTTAGTGAAATATAAATGTTTTAGGAAACTTTTCGTCATGTCACCGGTAATGGGCTCTGACTCTTGACGTGACTCTTGAAGTGACAGAGACAGAAAGTCTTCTAATATTGTCTATGGATTTAGTATATATTTAATTTTTTTCGTTGAAGTGATGTTATTTGTCCGTGTGGTGATGGATTGTGAAAACGGAGTGTCACCACACCTATTCATCTAGTGGGGTTCGTAAGAGCCAGGTAAGTGCTCGTTCCCACTTGTCGTGTGTCGAGAACTACAGAAAATCGATTGCTCTAGTGGCAGGACATTTCATACGAAACTTTTTATTCGATTTTGTGTCAAACAAATAATGTTGGGTGTTTTGCCAGCCCTCTACGCCCGGAAATCTCGCTTGCCTATGAGTACATAATGACGCTGGTTACGTTGTCAGATGTTGATGACAAATGCAGTCTCTAAATCTTGTCTGCATAAACATGCTATTGAGCTAAAATAATATACTCAGTCACTTTTCAATTCTGTTATCAACTTCTGAAATGTTCAAATCTCTTCCTCAGGCTTCGATGCACTCAAAAATTTCTTCCCTTAGCTGTCTTATTCGTTTTCTTCTCAAATACATCACAATAAGAACTTCGTTGACGTCCATCGTGCACAGTCGCTTCGCGTAGTGTTAAAAATTGGTACCAACTTCGACCGTGGCCGACAACTAGTGTGAACAGAGGCACCGACACTCGATTAAGATCCGGGCCCGCAGCCGATTACTGGGAACGAGCTGTAGGGAGCAAACCACGCAGGACAACACCACTGCAACTAGAAGGAAAACTTGACACAAACCCTATACCAACCCGTCAATAGTAGGCCAAAACCTCCTTTCTGAAGCTTTATGTCCAGTGGACTACGAAAGCCTGTTGATAATACTGATGTTATTTAAACCAGATATGATTATAATTAACTCTTAAATTGTCATAATCGATGCACAGATATCAGAGTTTTGAGGTAATAAACATAAAAAAGAAGATACATGAGAAATGAGAACCTCTTCCTTTTGTTGAATTAGGTTAAAATCGACATTTTCGCGAGCGGATCCACGATTTAATGGTAGTGATAATATAAAACTACTAGCTATATTTTTTTGTTGTTTATTAAATACACAACACACATTACAATCAATTAAAACATAAATTACAAATACATCGTTTATATCTGGATCGTAACGTTACTCATATTATGTGCACAAAGAAAAACAATGAAGATCATACAAAAAAGCCGTGTGGTGTCGTGGGACACCCGATAGGAACGAAGTTGTTACGATCGAGTAAAACTGATTAGACACGATTTTAATTACAACGCCATCTATGAAAGCGGCTATTACCTACATATTTTTCAGTTGGTTTCTAATTAAAACAATTTATACATTGGTAAAATCTCCTTGAGAAATGATGTCGAATACAATATTTTTTGCTCAACCTAAGAACATAAATTTTAATTTTACTATTCGATAGATGGTGTCGGTGATGGTTCGGTAGAAAGTGTCGTGACCAATTTTCGTAAGAATTTATTCCGTCTAGCCCCCTTTCACAACGCGCGATAAGGAACTTCGTTCCAAAAACTATCTAATACTAACTGTAAGTAATACTAACTAATACTGTAAGTAATATAACAATTAAGTAGTCAAGTAACAAAGTAAGCAAGCAGCTGTGATGCAGATCTGAATGCTAATGCAAACCCAACTCAGTATGGAGGATGTGTTTCACTAATTTACTATATCTGTTATAGTTATGATCAAAAACGTCTGGTAATTTATTGGTTTTGGAGATATCTTTATATTGACGGGCCATTCTTGTTAATGGATCATAGTAAGAAATGTAATTTTTATATATTTGAAGGTCAAATACCTACATTCGTATAAGTAGCCCTACGGCACTAAATTTAATATTGAAACTGATTTGAGAAAGTAACTCTAGTGAGTCAATAATTAATATAGTTTATAATTTTGTCGTCGTCTGCGGTATTTCCGGACCGATACGACCTTCAAACCTTCAAGAAAAGAGCGTCATCATCAACATTCATCAACAGCCTATACTAGTCCATTGCTGGACGTAGGCCTCTCCTTAGAAAGGAGGTTTTGGCCTACTATACCACGCTGGCCAGACGGGTTGGTATAGGGTTTGTTTCAAGTTTTCCTTTTCTTTGCAGTGCTGTTGTCCTGCTTAGTTTGCTCCCTTAGTCGGCTCTTACGACACCCACGGGATGAATTGGGGTGGTGACAATTTGAATTCTTAATCCGTCACCACACGGAAAAGAGCGTACTCCTTCCTAAATGCTATAACCAGTAATTATTTTTTAATTCCATATGCGACCGAAGTTGCGCCTTATAGAGTTGGAGGCGATGGGCTGGAGTGAAATACTGCCTCGATCTGTTCAACACACCGAGCTTCTTCGAGGTCAATTCGACCTTACCCTCTAAATTACCGCGAAACTGGCCTTCGCTCGAGATATCGATGCCTAGGATTCCGATGGATAGGATCCTTTGAAATTGAGGAACTTCCATACAATCGTTCATCCCATATTTTAACCCCTTAGGGGTAATATTTCCAAAAATCCTTTCTCAGCCGGTGCTTACAACATAAAAAGCATCATCTGGCAAAATTTCAAGTTTGTTGCCACAGCGGTTTAGACTCTGCGTTTATGAATCAGACAATCAGGGCAAGTAACTTCGACGGGCCTGTTGGTCTAGTGGTTAGTAACCCTGACTGCTAAACCGGAGGTCGTGGGTTCGATTCCCACCCAGGACGAATATTGTGTGATGAGCACGGTCATTTGTTCTCTGTCTGGGTGTAATTTATGCCGTGTTAGTGATGTGTGAGGTATATTATTATTATAGGTATATGTATAGATTAATAATACAAGAAATCAACAATATTTATGAATGCGTACCAAATGTTTTCTACACAAATAGCGTTGAAAACCGATTTATAACAAATTTATGACATTCTAATACACGGGTCATTAATAAACCAAAACGAATGTTAGAAATTTCTACAAAACTCCCCTAATATCATATTTTAAACCTTATTCCCTTCTGATAAAATTCAATTTCTCTTTGAAACTATTTTATCTACACTAAACAATGTAATTTGGACTCTATTTTACACAATTAAAGTTGAATATTGTTTTGTGAATTACTATAAGAGGGGGTGGATGAAGATAGTTTTATAGTCCGTAGTGGATTCATCAGGGGATGAATTTCAAATGTGTTTTTGATTTAGACGCATAACGCTGAATATAAATGAATTGGGTATAAAAAATATTAAAACTAAAGTGATTCCTTAAAAGATTTTTACAGAAATGATGGCGTAAATACAATTATCTAGTGTTTACGAACAACTCATCTGTACTAATATTATAAAGCTGAAGAGTGTGTTTGTTTGCTTGAATGCGCTAATCTCAGGAACTACTGGTCCGATTTGAAAAATTCTTTCAGTGTTAGATAGTTTATTTATCGAGGAAGGCTATAGGCTATATATCATTACACTAAGACTACTAGGAGTGGAGCACCAATGACTAGTCATGTTTCAAAATCGGGTTATTTTTTTCCCTTTGAGACTTCCGCTGCGTGCGCTACGTTAACGGAAATGGCTCCTTAATCTACGTATTATTTAAAAATATTTTCATCTTCAACGTATACAAAGTCGCGGGTTAAAGTTAGCGTTAGCTAGTAATAATATGTAACTTGAAACATCTCACACACGGCCGTCTGATCCCAAACTAGACAGAGCCTGTACTATGGTAACCAGACTGATGATAAACATACTTACATATTACTAAGTGAATGTCGCCACCCCTAACTTAACACAAACCTAATACCAACTAGTTTCGCCAGCGTGGTATAGCAGGCCAAAGCCGACTTCCTAAGGGTGCTTTTACACGGTGCAAGTAGCCGGCGCGGTTACAATGTGACATGAAAAATACCTTGTTACCATGGCCTATGTTCATCAATCATCATCAACAGCCTATACTAGTCCACTGCTGGACATAGGCCTCTCCTTAGAAAGGAGGTTTTGGTTTTGACCTATGTTGTTACATGAAAAATACCTTATATTTTGACATTGCAAACAGACAATTTAATTTTATTTATTTCTATAGAATAGTTTAATAAGTTCGTTACTTTATTTAGATAAGGTAAGATGTTACATTTGAACCCGAAAATATGTATATTGTTTTCCACATTACTTAATTTTCCACCACTAGGAGTGGCATTTGTTCTTCCGTTTCTACGGAACCTAAGGGGAAATATACCCTTATAAAAAAAAAAGAATTTTCCAAATCGGTTTACAAATGAAACAGTTTTGAGGTAACAAACATAAAAATGTTTGCGTAACAAAAATTTTTTTTGTCTAAATGTTTTGTAATCATATATATAACTCTCTTGTGCACATATCTCTGTAACCCAACACAAACAGTTAACAAATATCTTGAAGGAATAAAACAAGGTGTATACATGTTAGATTTTTTAAAGAGTTATCCTCTACTCCTAAAGATCAAGGACCCTTCCATCATCAGTTCAGCAACATGTCATAAAAATTTTGTTAAATACCTAAATAGCTAGAGAAACAAGCTAAAACACGTTGTCGGGCTGTAAAATTTGAAGGTTGCCCTCGATTTCTCTAGGATCCCATTATCAAATCCTGACTTTGTGGTAATGGGACCACCTCGGGAATATAACCTTTCGATTACAAAAAGAATTTTTAAAATATACACATATAAAAGAATACAGCCGAATGAATGATCAATCGGACTTGTTATATTCGGAATTTTGAACCATTCGGAATTTTATTATGAATTATATATATATATATAATATTACATATTATATAGTATAGTAATATATGAATTCATTCTCTTATCCATGTGGTGATGGATTAAGAACACTGAGAGTCACCACCCCAATTCATCTGGTGGGTGTCGTAAGAGCCGACTGGGGGAG